CATTATTTTATGTTTTTCTCTCCCTCTTTTAGAAAGTCTTCTGGATTATTTTGTGATGGGCCTGTTCCTTCCTGAGGTTGCTGGTTTCTTCCTTCTTGAGGTTAAATATGCAGTACTATTTCTGATATATCTATACTTTTTCTACTTTATTGCAATTCCATCCTCCCATTCCTCACTCCTGCCTATTTTCAGCTTTTAAGGCAGAAAAGGAGGTATTTCTGATTTTAAGAAAATATTTTGCTCTTGCTTTTGGCCAGAATTCAGACATTAACAACTGGAATCAGCTTAGCTTTATGTTTAGAGATTTGTGGGACCTTTCATATAACACAGTTATAGTGATTCCACTAGGAACTATAGTCACATTCTATGGAATGCTGTGGTTTAATGCACCACTATAATGCAATTGTAGAAATATAACTGTGGTCCCAGGAATTGGTTCTAAGTCCACAATTAATCTACAAATAAATCTGTTCTGGGACTCATCTACACCAGTCACTTAATCTGAGGTCAGTCCAGATAATTATGACCCAGATTGGCCCTTTATGTCCCATAATAGCAGCCACATATGCTGAGTCAAACCATCTGTGGTACTAGATTGGTGTCCAAATGACTGAGTCAGGTCAAGACCACATTGACTCCACTGAACTATCCCCTTGCTCTGTGTGTCACTGCTTGCCAGCTATGGAGCTCCCTGCCAATGCCTGGCATTGCAGTCACATCTGCTGAAGTCATAACAGGGTGCTTGTACAATCAACAAGGAGGGAGTAGAGTGATTTTTTCCTGATTTTGACCTCAACAAATGCAATCATGCCAATGAAGGTCAGAGCAGATATCTTCAACACTACAGTTTTGCTGGCAATGTTATACACATCTGAAACATGGGCAACAACCAAGTTACTGGAGGAAAAACTGGTGGTGACTCAGAGCACAATGGAAAAAAGAATATGTGATGTGACAATAAGAGATAAAGTCAGCAATAAAGAGCTGTGTAAAAGAATCAGGGTTCATAACATGGTCAATGAAATCTATGATGCAAAAAGAAGATGAGCAGGGCATATAGCACAAACAAAAGACAACCAATGGACATGTCGACTAACAAACTGGATACCAAGAGACCACAAGTGGCCCTTGGGCAGACCTCGCATTCGATGGGATGAACTAATGGTTAAGCTATTTGGCCAGAAATGGAAAAGAAAAGCACAGGCTCATATATCTTGGCAAATGGTATATTTGCATGAAGCCCAAAGGAGTTCATCAATGACAAATTAGATTGGATAGAATAGAGATGCAATCACAATGGCCAGGTGTTCAGAGGGAACTCTGTAGCTGGAAAAGAGTGGTGAGGATTGGTTGGGGACAAGGACAATCAATCCCCTTCCCTGCTCAGGGTAATGCTGGTAATGTGCATATGGATCAGGCTGAAATTGACTCAATCTAGCTTTTCTGATGGTCACAAAGCCCCAGGATACTCCAGTGCTTCCTGCTAATTTCAGAATATCTTCGAACTTTACTTAATGTGAAACAAAATCAGATTAAGGCTAAAAACTCCAGATTATTACAGGAAGTCACTGTGCATCATGAAAGCAATCAGAACTAGATTTGGAGTGAATATTGTGTACTCTGATAGCTGGTTTGTTGTAGGTTTTTCCGGGCTATATGGCATTTTCTCCTGACGTTCCGCCTGTATCTATGGCAAGCATCTTCAGAGGTAGTGAGGAACTCTGGTAGCATTTCCCACCCAGCAAGTTTATTGCATTAGAGGAGCCTTATTTGAAAGATGTACCACCTCCATGGTGCATGTAATGCTGCTAGCGGTTATTACTGAAAGAGCTGGGAATTAGAAACTTTTGCTGATCTACTGTATATTGTGTGTAAAAACACAATGTTTTCTGCCCATCCATGTTCTAGCAAATGTTCTGTCTATGAATAGTGGTTTATTTAATGGACTGATTGAGTGATTTTAATAGTGACCACCATTTCCTAACTTTTAGCCCTAATGGTTACATCTGACTAATTGTGTATATTTGTCATAAATATTTCTGCAAGTTGAAATGAAAACTGTTAGGATCCTGATCTTGGTTTCAGGATTCCTTTACCTAAAAGGAAAAGAATGCATTTTAATGTCAACTACCATAGACTATAGATATATTAATCCACTGATGAAGGTCATGACCTTCAGTACATCTTAGTTTTACTAACAAATTTTATGAACTTGGTTATTAAGTACTTGTGAAATCTAGACTGCTGGGCTAGACTGAAATCTAAACAGAGTATGTAAGCCATGTTTAAGCACTGGCATACAAAATGGTACTTTTACCATTACCTCATTTAATCTTGTGAAGATTTAATCTAGACCACTGAACATTGGCAATGCATGAGACATCTTTCACCTCATTTCAGGATCCAAAAGAAAGCATTGGGATTTACTTATATATTGAACCAATTTTGATGCCCCCATTCATCAGGACATGGATGCAGGGCCCTGTTCAGGTTCAGATGACCACCTGAGCCAACAGTCCATTGAGGCTGCCACCACTGTATTGCTGGCCAAAAGATTATTGCTGGTGATATCATAACATGCACCTAGCCATGTGATCAGCAAGAGTGGTACCTGCTAGCCCTGCTGGGGAGCTGCTTCTAGCTGGCAATGAAGAGTTGGCTCTGCTTGATGTGTGGACATGGGATCCAGCCATCTACATATGAGAAACTGTAGCTGGAAGTAACACTTGTGTTGCAAAACCAGCCAAATGTCATGTAGATTCCTTGCAAGCTTTTTGTTTTGGACTCATGTAGACAAGTCTAAGCAAGAGAAATTAAGCCTAATTTGTGGGATTTGGCAGGGTGAGTTGCAGGGCTAAAACGCTTCATCCTTTGCATACCCTCTCCATCTTCCAATGTGAGACACAATGTGGTTTAAAGAAGAAATGAAAAATTAAAAGCATTGTCGGAAGCATGTGTAAAAGAGCACATAGGCTCAATACCACACACTTTTTGATGTTTTCTTGAGGAACAAAACCAAATTTGTGAGAATTATAAGTGTACAAAATTCTGAGAAAAACTATCTTCAGTTAGCAACTGGCATAGTGAAATGTATAAAGAGTGTGGGAACAGAGGGAAGCTCATGGTTTTGGTTTTCTATATTGTTTTTTTTCTTACTGTAAGTTTTTGCCAGATGTGTATGTGGCTAGCATTCATTTGCAGGATGTGAAACAGACACAGACCCAATGGCTGAAAATTGAGGTTAAATATGCAGTGATATTTGTCACAAGTGAATGTACTGAGACTGGCTTTATCCTATGCCTTTTTCAACCACTCTGAATTCTATGGTTATTGCAGTTGGTAGTGATGAAGGATGTCAGGTTGATTGATATTTCTGCATTGCAATAGGGAATTGGTGGAAATGTCAGTAAAAGCCACTGTGGGGGTAGTGAACAGAATGCTGGATTTTGACAGGGGAGATGAGGTTCAAATCTACAATGATCCAAAAAGCTTGTTCACTGATGACTTAGCCAACTTAATTTTCCTCATAGGTTTGAGTTTAACCTTCCTCTCAGCAGAGTAAGTTGAAAGATACAATTGCAGTGGAACATTTTTCTCATAATCTTCCCTGCAGCCCTTGGCTTTGCCTGGAATTTGGTTTATCAGTTTTCCTGAGCCAGCAAGGAAGGGAGATCACCCCTTTTCAATTCCACTAGATACAACAGTACCAGAAAATATTCACCATTGGATCATCTTGGTTAGAGTGATTTCATCTAGGAAAAAGCACCATTCCACTCCTAAGCTTCTTTAGAAAAAAGTCCAGATATAAATCTCATTAACTGTCTGGGACTACCTGAAGTGAAGAACATGTAGTTCTCATTGATGCCCAGGGAAAAGACTGTTAATTACTAGGTCTGGGTAACAACGGAAAAATTTGTTTCTAATATCGTTTCGTTTTTAGGGTGCCTCAGCGTTTTGTATTTAAAAATATATCCGAAATTTTCCATTAAAAAAAGTTTGGTATTTACGAAATTTCGTTAATATTTACAAAACGTTTTGTAAAGATGGCGCCCGCGGTTGCGCATGCGCAAAGCATCAACGAAATTTTTTTTCAATATTTTTTCAATATTTTTAAATTTAATTATTAATTTTTTTTAATAATAAAAAAATATTTGGCAGAAAATGCTTGCCAAAAAGAGCCACAGGGCAAACAGACTGAGCCTCCCCGCTGCTCCCAGCTCCGTCCCACCCTCCTGAGTCCTGCGGGCTCTCTCTCTCTCTTTCTCTCTCCACCAAGAGGAGGGAAAGGAGAAGAAAGAAAAGAGGAAGGGAAAGGAGGGAAGGCAGGCACTCACTCTGGCGGGCCCTCAAGCGCTGCCACCGAGTCGGGCCCGGCTCCTCCGAAGCACACCCACCGCAAAGGTGAGGAAGGAGGGACGGGGCCGCCTTCCCGCTGAGGGTCGCTCGCCCTCTCGCTCGCTTGCTCAGCCGGCGCCTTCCCCGCCCTCTCCTCCTCCTCTCCTCCTCCTCCTCTTTCAGGCTCTGACTGGCTAAGGAGAGGAGAGAGAGGAGAGCTCCCAGCAAGCATCTAGCCAAGTCATCTTACGTATTTCCGAAATGGACAGAAATACAAAAATATTTGGCGCATGCTGTTTCGATTTTGAAAATACACTTCCGGGTTTGGAAAAAAGTTTGATATCATTTTGTATATGGGAAATTAACAGGAAAAAAACGATATACAAAATTAACGAACGAAACCGCCCAGCCCTATTAATTACCCACTCTTGAGTTCTGCAAAATAAGTAATTAAGTATAAATGAATAAAACAGATCACATTTCTCTCTTCCAGTATTTTGACTCTGTGTTACTGTTTTATTTTTGGTACATTTTATCAAATAGTATCCTGTGCCTAACAAAATATCATGTTCCCCTTACACTAACCACAAGCCGCCTCTGTGGGGAGGTCTATGTTTATCTTGATGACTTGCAAAATGTTAGTCTCTTACTAGTTTTGCCTTAAACAGAAACGACAGCTGAAAGAAGACTTCCTTGAATATATTTGCTACAACAGCCTAGCCAGTGAGGGGAAACCTGCTTGTCACAAACTTTGTGGACCTCTATCCAATACCAAATTAAGATTCAAACTGAGTGAGAAACTGAATAGATGAAACTAGACTTCATAGATAACTTACACATAACTGAAGAAAAGAAAAAAATATCAAACGGAGCTGTGAAGAGGAACTATGGAGAATCCATTGCTCTTGTCCCCTCACTCAAATACCACTTCCAGAATGAGATCACTGTATAAAATTGTGAAATCTAAGAATAAAGAAGATGAAAAAGCAGAAACAAAAAGCAGGTAAGGTGCTACGTGGGTTACCTTTAAAAGTGTATCATTGTAGTTGTTGTTTTTTTATAATTATTTGGGATATTATCATGCATCTTCCATACTTCATCACTTAGAGCATGAAGAACCCGTTAGCTAGGACTCAAGAAAGATAATATTTGATTGACTTTCTGTTGCATGGAATAAGTTTCAGGGATCAACCATTACCTTGTTTTCTATATACTAGCTCCCTGGTGACACTTAAAAACATTCAAAATGTATATTTGAAAATCTGTGTAGGAAAAAAGAATTGTCCCATGATGTAACAAAGACTGATCCATGTATTATTGAGGCCTAAACATGCATAACAAGAGTCAACTTTGTCCCCCCTCTCCCTGGGGAGAAAAGTAGTATAAAATGTAGCAAATAATACATAATAATAAGATGCATGTCTAGACCTGGAAACATAATCACAACTATGTGGGTGAATGTGAACATTGTTTAAGATTTTAAAGGAGCCACACGCTAGTCAACTATGAAACATACTTTGTTCCTGTTGAAATCAATAGTTCTGAAATGATAATACTCTATTAAATAATGTTTGATATAGTCATGGAATGAAAAGGCAAAGAAAAACAGTTAAAGCAGTGTATTGAGCTTGTGGGTGAGGAAAGTAGGGCTGATCTTACTGTAACCAGATAGTATGTGGTGAACATAGTCCAGGAAAAATATAGCAGTTTTCACCAGTTTAGCTAGATTGGATATTAATCAATCAAAGGACCTACTGCCTATCTATGAACTTCTTGGGCAAGCTACTTTGCTTCCACACCTTTCTTGCTGGCTCACTTGACCTCTGTGAGAAAGAAAGGTCATACCAACAAAAACTAAGTGGAGCAACTCAATATCTGCCATTGCAGTCACACGGATTCAGATGAGAAGAAAAGAGCAAGTCAATAAAAAGAATAGGGAGGAAGAAGTGGACAACACAGACAAAAGTAACTACTAAGGTCATCTTGCACAATCTCCATTTTATTCTACTGATCACAAATCTTTTGGACCAACAGTTTCCAGAATAAAAAGTACTCAATGCTGAACTGTATTATTAAGAGGAGAAATATTAGACAACTTTGTTAATGAATGGCAACCAATGATTCAACACCTTAATGTAAAGTTAAACTAAAAATGTATATAAAGGATCCTATAAGATTGTAGACAAGGGAGAAGCGGATGTAAAGTAAGAGTCTATGATATCTTTATATGTATTATTTAGATAGTAGACCATGACCCCTTAATGGAAATATATTATCAGATAAATGATTATAGAACATTAATATATAGAAAGTATTGCACTGCATGCAACAAACACTTGCAAATGTATGTCTACTTAAATAAAAAATAATAATTAAAAAAGGGGGGGAAAGCTGAGAAATATGCCCTGTTATAAGTCAAAAAGGGATAAATCAAATTTCTCATGGTTTTTGCCCCATTTGTCTTTCAGGTAAGTCACAAAATAATTAAATGCAGGAAGATAGCATTTTCACATAAGAGTCATTTTTAGAGAGCGTGCTGTAAATATAGTCAAGGTATATTTGTTTTTGTTGCTACAGGGCAACTTCTTTATTGGCAGGCCAGTTGAGAAGCTTGCATGGTCACTAGGCTAAATCTTTGAGGTTATTTTACTGAAGTTATTACTTTTTTTGTCGTGTCAGGAGTGACTTGAGAAACTGCAAGTCACTTCTGGTGTGAGAGAATTGGCCATCTGCAAGGACGTTGCCCAGGGGACACCCGGATGATTTGATGTTTTTATCATCCTTGTGGGAGGCTTCTCTCATGTCCCTGCATGAGGAGTTGGAGTTGATAGAGGGAGCTCATCCGCCTCTCCCTGGATTTGAACCTGTGACCTGTTGGTCTTCAGTCCTGCCGGCACAGGGCTTTAACCCACTGCGCCATCGGGGGCTCCTCAGTTATTACTGATATAGTAATACCCTCCATAGACTGAAAATATACCACCTTGAAGATTTTTCTTGAAAATAGTGATGAGTAATTTCAGCAATTTTCTCCCTGCTGTGATAATTTTTAAAGCACACCCAATTTTTGGATGGTATTTGAAATTCAAGACTTATTGTGTTCAAATTTTGAATATGGATATGTTGTGCAGAAAACAGCAAAAATTTCACAGAAAATGGGATTTTCTCTTTAATATTTCAACACAGAAATAATTCGTGAGCTGAAAATGCTTTTTCATGCAACTCAATTATATGCAAATTTTTTAACATAATAAATCTCAATTTTAGCATTCTTTGCACAGACAATATATTTCTTTTGCACAGGGATATTTCTGCACAGTAAGATCAGCACTACTTTTGCACAGGGATATTTCTGCACCAAAATATTCTTTTTCATGCAGAAATTTCCATTTCCTGTACAGAAAATATGCAGAAAAGAACTGCATACAAAATTCTAAACAAAATGTCCCAAACTGTGAAAATTCTTGCCAGTCCCGGTTTCTTCTTGTTGGAGTTTCCTAATATTCAAAACCTGTGTTTATATTAGGAGAAAAACATCTTTAAAGTATTATTTCTATCTCTACCATGATCAGCTTTCATTCCAACAATGTCATGGTAATTAAAGAAATAGTTTTCAAAGACCTTAGCTAAGAACTGCACACTTAAATTACCCATCTTGAAGCTGTTGTTACAGAGTAAAACCATCACATAAATATAAAAATGCACCAATAGTATTTTTGATATCACAAAATATGCTCAAAAGCTTGCTGGTTCTGTATTAGCACAAGGTCTGGGAGTCTGTGGTCATGGATGTATTATTTATTTATTTTTATCACACCCATCAACCAAAGGGTATCCTATACTCGCTTACAAATTGTTAATTTGATAGATTCCTGCCTTCAGACTTAAACTCTGAAAAAGGAATAATATACAAAGAATAGAAAATGGCATTGGGATAGGGATTAAGTTCAGTACATACTGCATGTTCTACTTTCCCTCTAAGGTCATAGCAGAGGCAGTTGGCAACTGGCCTTCATCAGCTGCTGGGGTGAAAACATGATGGAGGTGTGTGTGCCTGCTTGCTCTTTTCTCCCTCTGAAGTCACTGCAATGGCTGATGAGATAGAGAGAATGTCTTTCACCAGCTGCTGAGACGAAGATACAATAGTTGGATATAGCAGGGAGAGAAATAAAATGAGGTCATTGACCCCTCCAAAAATAATATTTCAGTGACTTCAAACTTCAATTGACCATTTAGAAATACAGTTAAGACATCCAAAGTAAAGGGGCAGGAATACGTTCAAGGGAATGCAAATATAGCCAGTAGGAGAAGTCTAGGTGTCAGTGATTTTCACTGTCTCAATTTCTGCAAAACTATAATTTTGGGAACTGAAGAAAAATTCCATTAGGAATGGCAGAATTCTTTTTCAGGAGGGAAATGCCTTCATTGTGCTTCCATTCCACACGGGACAGAGAAAGTGCTGGTCTCCATCACGGATCACCTTCGATGCCAGCTTGACCAGGGCGGATCAGTGCTGCTTGTGTTATTGGATCTCACAGCAACATTTGACACAGTCGACCACAATGTTTTGACCCACCGCCTTGCTGCTGTTGGAGTCAGGGGGACAGCTTAAATTGGCTGTCCTCCTTTCTTCACAACTGTGGACAGCGAGTGGAGAGTGGAGGCCTGGTCTCTGAGAGGTCCCCTCTATCTTGTGGGGTTCCTCAGGGGGCCATTCTCTCCCCTCTGTTGTTTAACATCTATATGCGACCACTTGCTCAGTTGGTTCGAGGTTTTGGGCTTGAGTGTTATCAGTACGCTGATGACACTCAGCTGGTGCTGAAGATGGAAGGCCGACCGAACTCTGTACCCAATTATTTCCATTAGTGCCTCAAGGCCATACTGGATGCTGCGTGCCAGCAGGTTGAGGATGAATCCAGCAAAGACGGAGATCCTATGGCTGGGTCAACCGGGCAGTGGGGATATCCAGCTGCCTACCCTGGATGGCGAGGCGCTATGCCTGTCATCATTGGTAAAGAGTCTGGGAATCCTTTTGGACCCTCTGCTGACGATAGAGGCCCAGGTCTCCGCCGTTAGCAGAACCGCTTTTTTCATCTGCGGCAGGCTGGACGGCTGGCCCCCTACCTGTCCAGGGACGACCTAGCTACAGTGATCCAGGCTACGGTCATCTCAATACTGGACTACTGTAATGCCCTCTACATTGGCCTTCCTCTGTCGGTGATCCGGAAGCTCAAGTTGGTACAAAATGCAGCTGCTTGGCTTCTTGCGGGAATTCCGATGAGATGCCACATAACACCAATCTTACTACAGCTGCATTGATTACCAATTAAGCACCAGATCACTTTCAAAGTGATGGTACTCACCTTTAAGGCCTTGCATGGTCTGGGGTCGATGTACCTGAGGGACCGCCTCACCCCCTACCAACCCCAGAGATCCCTCCGTTCTGAGGACCAAGATCTATTGGAAGTCCCCAGTGTCAAGACCTTGCATCGAACAGCAACCAGATGCAGAGCCTTCACAGCAGTGGCACCATCACTCTGGAATTCTCTGCTACCTGAAGTCTGTGCCTTGCGGGACTTATCAGCTTTCCGCAGGGCATGTAAGACATACCTGTTTTGACAGGCCTTTGATTTTTGATATTGCTGTTTTTTAAATTGTTTTAAATTGTTTTTAAATTGTGTTAGATTTTAGCCATTCTTGTAAGCCGCTCCGAGCCCCAGGGAGTGGTGGCATATAAGTTCGAATAATAAATAAATAAATAAATAAATAAATAAATAAATAAATAAATTCCTTAATTAAACCCTCCTTAAAGACTTTCAGATTTTATTGGAGTTTTTCCTCTATTGATTATGCTTATGGGAGATAGAATCCTACAACAAATAGTGGTCATCCTGAAACTAGTAGCAATATATGAGTAGACTATGGAATGGCTGCAGAGTGCAAACAGATTCCAGTCACTCAAATATTCCAAGCAAATGATTGGTCAGCATTCATATTTAAAAGGCGCTTTATGTTTCTCCACAATCAAAGGGTTCCCATATCCAAAATGATACTTCCCTATTTTGTGTTACTGTTGTCATTTTAGCTCCATAAGCAAACCACTTCATCACTTAAAGGTGGAAATAAAATAATATGTATATGCATATAAAGATCAGGTGATATTTATTATTTTATTTATTTACTGCATTTGTTGACCGCCGTTCTCAGCCCTAGGGCGACTCACGGCGGTTTACAACATATAAAAACAGTTTACAACAAGGGCATATCAAAACAACAATATAAACATAACAATCAACAATACAAATTACACTAAATCATCCGCGCCGTCTCATCTTAGAATCATAAACCAATCTCGTTGTCCATATTCCGTTCCAGTTGTCATTGCTAATTGTTGTGGCACTGCTAATTGTTGTGGCACTTAGTCAAACGCCTTCTCAAATAACCATGTTTTTAGTCTTTTCCGGAATGTCATGAGGGAGGGCGCCTGTCTGATGTCTGCAGGGAGGGTATTCCACAGCCGGGGGGCCACCACCGAGAAGGCCCTATCCCTCGTCCCCGCCAGGCGTGCCTGTGAGGCAGGCGGGATCGAGAGAAGGGCCTCCCCAGACGATCTCAAGGTCCTCGTGGGCTCATAGGCAGAGATGCGGTCAGAAAGGTATTTTGGGCCGGAACCGTTTAGGGCTTTGTAGGCCAACACCAGCACATGATCAATCACATGATCAATCAGCATATGCTAATTCAAAACTGTCATATACAATTCAATATGGTATGAAATGAATCCATCAAATGGTATGATGAGCAGGACTCAAGCCAAAAGACCACATGATTATGATAGAATGCATTTTTCAACCAAAAAGAAGGTTAAGATTTCTATCCGTGTTGGTTTCCATGGCTACAGGAAGTGTGGTCTTCTATTTGATGCTATATATTTATTATTACTTACTTCTCAATAAAGTACATTTTCAAGGTAATTAGTTACATGGGTTTGCAAAGTGGTTTAGTAAGTTCTGTACATTTGTAAATTGCAAACATGAAACCATGGAAATGGGTTTATACTGGATAGTTTTCAAGCAAGAATTGAGAAAACCATCCATGTAAGTTCTGTGAAATTTGAATTGTTTTTGGAATACATCTCTCTGCTACTGGATTATAATTGTTTATGCTAACCAGAGTTTATGAGAATTGATCCATTAACATCTGGAGAGACATGCTACAATATCCTCTCATACCAATTAGACTACTGAATGATTATTTTCAATTGCAAATGGATGTGGCAACAAAATATTCCAGTATAGAGTTCTCCTTTAGAATCTTAGTAGTTCTTATCCATTCTTCTTTTATCTCCCTCGTAGTTTGGCGCTTCTCTGGTGGTCACTCAGCACTCAGGGCCTTCATTGAGCCATTCTTCCCATACCATAATAATAATAATAATAATAATAATAATAATAATAATAATAATTATTATTATTATTATTATTATTTTATGCCCTTTTCCCCGAGGGACTCAGAGCTGATTACAGCATAAAAACAGACACAGGCAAACATTCAATGCCTTGTTACAATGAAATACAATGACACAAATACACAGACAAAGGCTTCTTTAATTTCCAACTATGTAGGTGGTGCTCATCTCCAAGCTAAGGAGCCTGCTCTGTCTGTAGACACCTCCTGGTCATATGGACAGCATGACTGTTTGGAGCGTCGTTTTGCCTTTACCTGCCAAAGCAGTACCTATTGATCTACTCACATTTGCATGTTTTCGAACTGTTAGGTTGGCAAGCACTAGGGCTAACAGCGGGAGCTCACCCCATCCCACAAATTTGAAATGCCAACCATCAGGTCAGCAGTTCAGCAGCACAAGGAACTAACCCATTGTGCCACTGCATTTTGTGCAAAACAATTGCCCTAAGTTAGTTAGTACTCCCCTCTTGTGCATCACTGATGCTGTTTCATCTCTATAAGCATAGACAACCATCATTTTGGGTTGTTGTAGGTTTTTTCGGGCTATATGGCCATGGTCTAGAGGCATTATCTCCTGACGTTTCGCCTGCATATATGGCAAGCATCCTCAGAGATAGTGAGGTGTTTTGGAACTAGGAAAAAGGGTTTATATATCTGTGGTATGACGGGTGAGACAAAGAACTCTTGTCTGCTGGAGCTAGGTGTGAATGTTTCAACTGATCACCTTGATTAGCATATAATGGCCTGACAGTGCCTAGAGCAAACTTTTGTTGAGAGGTAATTATGTCCTTGTTTGTTTCCTCTCTGTTGTTGTGCTGTTGTAATTTTAGAGCTTTTTTTAATACTGGTAGCCAGATTTTGTTAATTTTCATGGTTTCCTCCTTTCTGTTGAAATTGTCCACATGCTTGTGGATTTCAATGGCTTCTCTGTGTAGTCTGACATGATGGTTGCTGGAGTGGTCCAGCATTTCTGTGTTCTCAAGTAATATGCTGTGTCAGGCCATTATATGCTAATCAAGGTGATCAGTTGAAACATTCACACCTAGCTCCAGCAGACAAGAGTCCTTTGTCTCACCCTGGTCATTCCACAGATATATAAACCCTTTTCCTAGTTCCAAAACACCTCACTACCTCTGAGGATGCTTGCCATAGATGCAGGCGAAACGTCAAGAGAGAATGCCTCTAGACCATGGCCATATAGCCCGAAAAAACCTACAACAACCCGGTGATTCCTGTCATGAAAGCCTTAGACAAAATCATCATTTTATTCCTTCTATTGGCAAAATAGAAGAAATACACACGCATACTTTTTAATTTTATTGCAGAATGAACATTCAAATACTCTGAATGATAAATGTTAGAAATATTTATAATGAGTAATGTTAACGCAACCAACAGTAATTCAAGAAGGACTGACCAATTTAATTTTATTTTGACACTGATCTACCACATTATATGGATATTTAGGGATAAGCAAAATTCACACCCAAAAGCATTGCTGTCACATCAAAAACCACATATCCCAAAGAAGAGGTCCTATTCATTTTAGCTATTGGGACTAACAACGTTTATTATTATTATTATTATTATTAGTAGTAGTAGTAGTAGTAGTAGTAGTAGTAATGGTCCCATCCATTTTAGCTATTGGGACTCCCAAATATTGTTTTTAATTGTTCTAGAGTCAAGAATAGTCAGATTGATGTTGTGTGCATGGGCCTGATTAAAGGATTTCAGGTAACAGACACTAGTGCTACTTTCAGTAGATATTATAGTCCTGATAACATCTATCTATCTGATAAAATGGCATCCCATTCTGAGTTGTTGTAGGTTTTTTTGGGCTGTATGGCCATGGTCTATAGGCATTCTCTCCTGACGTTTCGCCTGCATCTATGGCAAGCATCCTCAGAGGTATGCTTGCCATAGATGCAGGCGAAACGTCAGGAGAGAATGCCTCTAGATCATGGCCATACAGCCCGAAAAAACCTACAACAACCCAGTGATTCCGGCCATGAAAGCCTTCGACAATACATCCCATTCTGAATTTTACCCGTTTTTGCAAATAGGATCCAATGATTTCTTCGTATTAGGCATGATGCAAGGGGGAGAGTTGGGGCAGCTGATATCAGTTGTAGGTACATATCTTCTGTTATGTCTAATTCTATTTTAATCTGCAGCAAATGAGGTTTCTTTTTAGTAAATTCAACTGCTGGGATACATGGCACATTTCCATTTCCTTTTATTTTATTTTTTAAACAGCTCCAGAAGATCTTGGCATCCTGTCTTTGAGCTTACAAAGATTAACTTCCCCCTCCTTCTGCCTACAAACTGCAAGCACAAGAGTGTTGAAATGAAAAGACTTTCATTTACCCTTTGCAGATGATTCAATATGTAAATGTATGCAAAGGTGTAAGTGAGAAATTCATTACTCTCGATAGCAAACGCGGGAGAAATAACATCAACATTAGTGCAATAGTATGTCAGAGAGAAACAACTGGCCTTTCAGGACCTTTGTGTGCTGACAAAATGGAGTCTTTGAGAGTTTTTTGGAATGGTGATATCATTTGCCTCTAAACTCTCTCTCTCTCTCCCATCGTCAGGACTCAGGAAAAAAGGAACCGGCAAAGTCTTTTGCAGAAGTCTGAACTGCACCCAGACTTAAATTTGGACAAATTTGAAAAATTAAAAAAAGGTTCAAGGTAAGTGGTATGTAACAAAAAAGAAGAAGGTGACAATAAGCATAATATAGTGATGTATGGAATGCTTGATAAAGGCCAACCTAATTTGACTCCCTTTTTCTGCAATGAACAAATCTTGTCAAAAAATCCTATGAGAGGTTCACTTTAGGGTCACTATCAGTTGAAATGGACTTGAATACAAATGACGAGAACAAGAATACTTTTTTGGGACAATGCAATAATAATAATAAATAATAATACCCTTTATTTGTACCCCGCTACCTTCTCCTGAAGGACTCGGTGTGGCTTACAAGAGGCCGAGCCCAAATACAATAGTAAAAACAACAGCAACAATAAACAGCAAAATAACTCAAAAAACAAGGCAATAACATTAACAACACACAATGACGCAATTAAAATCAATGGCAGGGGCAAATGTAATAATTAAAATTAAAAGTGCTGGGCATGACCAGGTGGAGTGTTTGGAGGGGGATGGGCATGCAGATATCCTGGATCTCTGATAAAGTGCGTTGGGATATAATGCTAGGAGTTTCCTTATTCTGGGAAGGCACACTGGAACAGCCACATTTTCAAGCTCCTCCTAAAGATTGCTAGTGACGGGGCCTGCCTGATGTCCTTAGGGAGAGAGTTCCAGAGTCAAGGGGCCACCACCGAGAAAGCCCTATCCCTTGTCCTCACCAATCGCGCTTGTGATGCAGGTGGGATCATGAGCAGAGCCTCTCCAGATGAACGAAGAGATCATGTGGGTTCGTACACAGAGATGCAGTCACGCAGGTAGGCAGGTTCCAAACCGTTTAGGGCTTTGTAGGTAAGCACCTGCACCTTGAATTGGGACCAGAAAATGAATGGCAGCCAGTGGAGCTCCTTAAACAGGAGGGTTGACCTCTCCCTGTAAGGCAATAAGCAACAATAGGATCTGGTATGGCTGACCCGAGATGGTTTTGAACAATTGTTTTTAAAGTGGATTTTAGTGTTTATGTATATTTATAGTTTATTTTACGTTCTGGAATTGAATGTTTGCCATATATATGTTGTGCTCCACCCTGAGTCCCCTTCGGGGTGAAAAGAGCAGAATATAAATATTTTAAATAAATAAATAAATATCATCATCCTCCTTAAGAAAGAAAGTTGTGATAAATTGCAATATCATGTAATACAAAACTATTATTTGCTGTGACTTTTTGTGAAAAAAATGTTTGCACAAAACACTTAGATTTTGTACAAAATAAGTCCAATTGTGTTGAGCAGAAAACAGAGTAGTATCGTGTAAAACACAGTTTTGGGCATGGAAAAGTTGAAGAGGAAGGAGAGAGTTCATGGAAGGAAGGGATGAAAGGCACTTGGTTCTTGACATCATAGTGTTAATTGACATCATGAGATGACTAAGGGATGTCCTCCTGTTAAACAAACAAACAAAAAAGTTGTATTTCTCTCCAATATCTCTAGACTCACATTGGCTGGGACACATCCTGAAATGTCTATTAGAAGCTATCACTTCCAGGAAGTATGCTGGTTTGCTAAGATGTAAACAGTCCAATAAAGGGTTTTAGTTGTTTCTTAAGTTCAAACAATGAACATCCTGGACACTTTATAATGTAAATAGTTAAGTTCAGTGCCAAATGTTAAAGACCTAGCCCTGTGATTCCCCATTCACATCCAAAACAGGGGTGGGGGGTGGGGGGGTAATATTGTATCTTATTTGCAAGGACAGCTGCAAAATGGATGGGCAAGGCTAGAAATAGTGTTCTTTTTATCTGACTGAATCTGAACAATATTTAACCAGCTTTTTGGTCTCTGGATTTTTTTAATGTATTGTTGTGTGTTTCCCTGTTGTACACTGTAATAAAAGTCTGGTAACTTGAATGGGCAATAAATAAATGGATAAAAAAGCAAACAGTGCATTTAGATCCATTTCATGAGTTTGCTTGGTCTTCAGGAATTGAGATGAGCACCAACCCCCAGAGTTGGACATGATTGGACTTCCTGTCAGGGGAAAACCTTTACCTTTTAACTGTAATTCTGGAAATATTGTTGGATTATTATCTATGGCTCCCACCTCCTGTGCTCTTCAGTACTACACCGTAAAGTTAATGCAGCTTGACACCACTTTAACTGCCATAGCTCAGTGGTATGGAATCATAGAAGTGGCGGTGTCTGGGAGGGCTTTCGCACAATTGAGACTCGTGCGCCAACTGCGACCGTACCTCGCGAAGGCTGATCTGGCTGGGGTAGTCCATGCCTTGGTCACCTCCAGATTGGACTACTGCAATACGCTCTACGTGGGGCTGCCCTTGAAAACGGCTCGGAAGTTCCAACTGGTCCAACGAGCAGCAGCCAGGATGTTAACTGGGGCCCCTTACAGAGAGAGGTCAACCCTCCTGTTCAAGGAGCTCCACTGGCTGCCGTTTATTTTCCGAGCCCAATTTAAGGTGCAGGTGCTTACCTACAAAGCCCTGAACGATTTGGGACCATCCTACCTGCGTGACCATATCTCCGTCTACGAACCCATGCGTTCACTTTGGTCATCTGGAGAGGCCCTGCTCGTGATCCCGCCTGCATCACAAGCGCGTTTGGTGGGGACACGAGACAGGGCCTTTTCTGTGGTGGCCCCCTGACTCTGGAACACCCTCCCCAAAGATCTTAGACAGGCCCCTACATTGGCAGTCTTCAGAAAGAACTTGAAGACCTGGCTGTTCCGATGTGCCTTCGCAGATTAGGAAATCTCCCATACCAAGTCCCATAAGCACTTTATTAGAACTAAGATTGCTGCACATCGCACTCTGCACTTGCCCTATAAAACTTATATACCACTTGTCACATCAGCACTTTTAATCCTGTACCCATTACTCTGGCCCGGCCCAGTTCTATTGTGTTTTAGTGTATTGTTTATTGCTTGTTGTTTATATTGCTTTAATTGTTTTAATTTGCCTTAGGTTTTGTATTGTTATATTGTGTTGAGGCCTTGGCCTTTGTAAGCCACATCGAGTCCTTCGGGAGATGCTAGCAGGGTACAAATAAAGTTTAATAATAATAATAATAATAATAATAATAATAATAATAATAATAAAAGTTGTACTTTGTTGAGGCACCAGCACTTCATCAGAGAAGAACAAAAACCTTGTAAAACTACAGATTCCATGTTTTCATAGAATTGAGTTATGACTGTTAAAAGTTGTGTCAAACTACATTAATTCTGCAGTTCTTTCTGTTTTCTCAACCTCACAAAATGGTCTACATGTAGACCATTTTGAACTATTTAGAACTATTGCCTGTTTTTCTTTTCCATTATTCCATAATCACTTATCTTCATCTTAATTCTACAATTTACCTCAAAAGGAATCAAACAAATTGTTTCAAAACTTTTCAGCCCAAAGAAGGGTTTCTTATTCTCATCATTCTTTTGCAAACTAGAAAAATACATCTCAATAATAAACTCAATTCATGGTTTGACACATTTTATTTTTTAAGGCACACTCAATAAAATAACAACCAACACTTCAAAACCAGCATGACATTTAAAAATGCTCTTTGACTGTAAACACAACAACAGGCTTCATGTGTTAATATGGTTGCAAGGCTTGTGCATCTTTGTTTCCATATAGCTTCCTGTGTGCTGTTAAAATAGCCTGTGGTCACCAAGCACTAGTCTCTATTTTAAAACCACATCTCTGTGGAAGGAGGTCATTTTAGCTCTCCAGCTTTTGTGTAACTTTTCACCATTTTAAAAAGACAGGTGACTTTTCCCCCCTCATGATTGCTGCTGCACAAAATGCTTCAATTTTTGATGAAAGGCACATCAAAAATAAGCAAGAGACAGTACTTCGGTGTTTGGAATATTGAGGTGTAGTGGGGAGGAAATTTTGCTTTGTATAATTCAGTAGAAATGAGATCTAAATTAGACCAGCTGTTTTTGAAGGCCCAAAGGAGAAGAGCTTTTTTGTTCTCATAAAATAACACATTACAGCGCCCTGTGAAATACGCCAAACTGAAAGCCACAGGAAGTAACATGTGTTAAGAAATGACTCAAATGCACACACAACACATGACTTTTTCTCTTTTTCCATCGTCTGTAGTGAGTCTCCTGACATGATAAAGAAGTGGGGTGAATCTTTTGACAATCTGATTTCACAGAAAGGTTCGTATGACATGTTTTTAGCTGGAATTATGCTTCATTAAAGTTCCTTCTCTTTTCTTTCACATTGCAAGGGAACTCAAAACATTTTCATGGCTCATTATGATTCTTCTTTGGAGAAGGACTTAACATATGTAAAAATGAAGCACTCTATTGTCTACAATTTCAAATGGCAAATTGATTGCTGTAGAAAAATACTTTGCATTTGATCAGAATGCATACTTGAAAAAAATGTAGAAGTGACTGTGTTTCTCCAGAAAAGTATTCAGTAAACCAAATTGTCTAGAATCATAGAATCATAGAATCAAAGAGTTGGAAGAGACCTCATGGGCCATCCAGTCCAACCCCCTGCCAAGAAGCAGGAATATTGCATTCAAATCACCCCTGACAGCTGGCCATCCAGCCTCTGTTTAAAAGCTTCCAAAGAAGGAGCCTCCACCACACTTCGGGGCAGAGAGTTCCACTGCTGAACGGCTCTCACAGTCAGGAAGTTCTTCCTCATGTTCAGATGGAATCTTCTCTCTTGTCGTCTGAAGCCATTGTTCCGTGTCCTAGTCTGCAAGGAATCAGAAAACAAGCTTGCTCCCTCCTCCCTGTGGCTTCCTCTCACATATTTATACATGGCTATCATATCTCCTCTCAGCCTTCTCTTCTTCAGGCTAAACATGCCCAGCTCCTTAAGCTGCTCCTCATAGGGCTTGTTCTCCAGACCCTTGATCATTTTAGTCGCCCTCCTCTGGACACATTCCAGCTTGTCAATATCTCTCTTAAATTGTGGTGCCCAGAATTGGACACAATATTCCAGGTGTGGTCTAACCAAAGCAGAATAGAGGGTCCCTAGAGAAAATAAAAATCTCTTAGGGCCCTTCCACACTGTCCTTTATCCCACGATCTGATCCCAGTTTATCTACTTTAAACTGGAATAGATGAGTCCCCACTGCCAGATAACCTGGGATACACTGATAATCTGGGATCAGATCATGGACGATAGGGGCAGTGTGGAAGGGCCCCTAGTAACTGGGGTGTCTGGAAGATTCTGGAAGTTGAAGTCCAAAAACTAAATTGGTTTGATTATGCAGTATGTGGTTTATAACATATTATACGGTGAGGTAGATTTGTAATTGGTTAAATGAAAGAACCCAGAGGGTGCTCACCAATGCTTCCTCTTCATCCTGGAAAGAAGGAGTGCCGCAGGGTTCCGTCCTGGGCCCGATCCTGTTCAACATCTTTATTAATGACTTAGATGAAGGGCTAGAAGGCAGGATCATCAAGTTTGCAGAGGTCACCAAATTGGGAGGGATAGCCAATACTCCAGAGGACAGAAGCAGAATTCAAAACGATCTTGACAGATTGGAGAGGGCCACAACTAACAAAATGAAGTTCAACAGTGACAAATGCAAGATACTCCACTTTGGCAGGAAAAAATGAAATGCAAAGATACAGAATGGGGGACAATGCCTGGCTCGAGAGCAGTACGTGTGAAAAAGATCTTGGAGTCCTCATGGACAACAAGTTAAACATGAGCCAACAATGTGATGTGGCGGCAAAAAAAGCCAATGGGATTTTGGCCTGCATCAATAGGAGCATGGTGTCTAGATCTAGGGAAGTAATGCTACCCCTCTATTCTGCTTTGGTTAGACCACACCTGGAATATTGTGTCCAATTCTGGGCACCACAATTCAAGAGAGATATTGACAAGCTGGATTGTGTCCAGAGGAGGGCGACTAAAATGATCAAGGGTCTGGAGAACAAGCCCTATGAGGAGCGGCTTAAGGAGCTGGGCATGTTTAGCCTGAAGAAGAGAAGGCTGAGAGGAGATATGATAGCCATGTATAAATATGTGAAATGAAGTCACAGGGAGGAGGGAGCAAGCTTGTTTTCTGCTTCCTTGGGGACTAGGACGCTGAACAATGGCTTCAAACTACAAGAAAGGAGATTCCATCTGTACATGAGGAAGAACTTCCTGACTGTGAGAGCCGTTCAGCAGTGGAACTCTCTGCCCAGAGTGTGGTGGAGGCTCCTTCTTTGGAGGCTTTTAAACAGAGGCTGGATGGCCATCTGTCAGGGGTGATTTGAATGCAACATTCCTGCTTCTTGGCAGGGGGTTGGACTGGATGGCACATGAGGTCTCTTCCAACTCTTTGATTCTATGATTCTATGATTCTAGTGGTCCCTTTCAAATCTAGGATACTATATTTGTCATAGACGTGTGTGTGTGTGTGTGTGAATCATATCTGTCTATCTATATCTATGGCTAGATGGCTCTTTGTCAGTAGGGGTTTGATTATGTTTTCTTTCCCTCGTGAAGGGAGTTGGACTGGATGGCCTTCAGTCAGCATTTCTCAACCTGTGGGTCGGTACCCGGAGGGGGTTGGAGAGTCATGAGGGGTTATCAGAAGGGTCTTCAAAGACCACCAGAAAACACAGTATTTTCTGTTGGTTGTGGGTGTTCTGTGTGGGAGGTTTAACCCAATTCTATCATTGGTGGGGTTCAGAATGCTCTTTGATTGTAGGTGAACTATAAATCCCAGCAACTACAACTCCCAAATGACAAAATCAATTTTCTTTTGAGCGATGGTCACTCCTTGGGTTAGTAGGTGCCTTGTGGCCAAATTTGGTGTTAATTTGTCCAGTGGTTTTTGAGTTATGTTAATCCCACAAACAAACATTACATTTTCATTTATATAGATTTTTACTTGACTACATTTTATTACAGACAGTGCTTTTTCCACATTTGCAAGGATCAGGGGGCACCTAGTCCTGCACTTGCTGCCCCAATCAGTCACCTAGGGTTTTTAATCCCACATCCCCCCCCCCCCCCCCCCCAATAGACTGTTCCCATAGTTGCACCCGTGAACTCACTAACTGGCTTTTCTAAAAAAAATTCCTATTAAATATATACAATAAGATAATCCAGGATTATACTTTGTTCATTCAATTTCCCTTATTCGAACCATAAATACACTTGATAATCCCTCACCATCATCCTAGAAAGACCAAATCAGTAAGGTTTTAGTCTATTAACATACACCTTTTCACCTCTTCTATTTCCACCCTCCTTGGTCACAATATAATTCACATCAGACAACTTTTTTACAACAACACAGGGTCTTCCCAAACCATTCCCATCTTCTTGTCAGATCTTGGCTTCAACAACAGAACCTTGTCCCTCTCTTTGAAGAATCGGTCTCTGACTTTAGCATTTCGACTTTCCTCCAGTTTCTGCTGTGGTAGTTTAAGTCTCTTGGAAACAGCATCCTGAGCAATGTCCGTTTATTTTCTTGGTCTTTCAATATAATCTGCAATGTCTCTTTTGTTGATCTCCTCTCTACAGTTCAGGCCCGCCTATCTTCGCTATCGCATCTCCCTCTATGAACTGACATGAACTTTAAGATCTTCCAGGGAGGCCCTCCTTTCGCTCCCACCACCATCACAAGCATGGTTGGTGGGGATGAGAGAGAGGGCCTTCTCGGTGGTGCCCCCCCCTCCCCAGCCTCTGGAACGCCCTTCCTGGAGAAATAAGACAGGCCCCATACCTCCCCTCCTTTTGTAAGAGCCTGAAGACCTGGTGGCTTAAACAAACCTTTCAGAACGGCTAGTTCTACCTCTGCCCCAGATACTGTTGAAATTGGCCATATCTTTTTCTACCAATTACCCAGATCACTCTCTTCTATTAGGCCCTGGAAATGTACAGCCATAGACTCTACCTAATTTCCCGGGCCCTCTAAAATCACACTAGACCAGCCTTTTAAACAGGCAGGATTATTTTAAATATATGTGCTATTGTTGTTTTTAATGCTTATATTGTCTTGTTAATTTTAATGTTTATGTTGTTTTCTTTGTATATATAGATGGTGTTACTTGGAAACCGCTCTGAGTCCCCTTGGGGAGATAGAGCGCTATATAAATAAAGTTTTGTTGTTGTTGTTGTCTACCCTCTGAAATAGTCTCTAATACATCTATTAGTTCTTTCACTTTCTTTTCAAATAAAAGTTTTAAAAGACTGCCAATTATTACTTGATCTCCCAGATCTTCGACTACTCCCATTCGCCACATTCCTTTATATTCTTTATACTGGACTGGAATCTCAGCTATGGGCATCTCAAAGGCTGGCCCATATATTCCTTTCAGTAAGTATCTCCTGTTGGGAACTATCTGATCTGATGCCACCATTTTTCTTTGTATCAGTGTTACTTCTGCTCCAATATCTCTTAAGCCTACAACTTTGTTACCATTTACAGTTATCTGTTCTCTATAATCTCGAGTTACATTCTCTCCTATCTTCCACACTCTATATATTCTAACTGGCTTCTCTTGTTCCTTTGCTTCATCATCTTTCATTTCTGCTGCGTCTCTTGGATCTCTCACCCTCTGTATGATTCGCACATTCCTCTGAGGTAAATCCATCTTCCCCTTGGGACTCAACTGGGGACATATGGATTTAATATGTTCAGGCTCTCGACAATGATAACAAGTGATTCTCTCAGGATTCAACACAGGTTTCTCCATTCTATAATAACCGCTATCCTCCTCATAAGCCAGTGCTGCTGTGTTTCTCCTGTTACTGTTACTTACATAAGTCAAAGATGGTGCCTCCCCTCTTTGCAGCGTTCTTGTTCCCAAAGTTTCCCGCCTTTTCTGTATAATTCTTTTTGTCAGGTTTTACAATGTATTGTAATGTAATATAACTGAGTCATGCACTGCTAATGGGCTTCTATTGGAAATGCTGAGTCATGCATTAACTGTATATAGGGAATCATTTGGGGAATGTGTTCTGGCCTAGTCCAGGTGATTGTGAATGATGTAATCCTGGGTCTGAGTTAAGTTAATGAGTTGGGAACCAATCAGAGATTGCTATGTGTAATTGTATAGAATTGTATATAAGGAAGTCATGTACAGTGTATATTTCTTCTTGTGCTGTGATGTTGTTCGTCAAAGGCTATATGTAATTAAAGAACCTGTCTGCTAAGACAAGATATAACTGTATGCTGTGGTAAGTTTGT